ATAAGACCTGACCTCATGGTGACCTACCTCTTTCTACTCACTGCCACCAGCAAGCAACACCTCCTACTCCTCCACTCCTGCCTGGCGGCCCTCGCTCCCTCCGGCAACCCACAAGCTGGTCCTCCTCTGAGCACCCTCACCAACCAGCTCTCTCTACTCAACGCTTGTAACCATGCTGCCTTCCCAGCACCAAGCTGCATTGTACATCCAATACAACATGTATACAGAGAGCACATTGTGAGTTTCCTTTCTCCATCCCATCCTGAGTGTGAACCAACATCTCGTACCCCACAGTATTACTTATGTAAGAATTTTCTAGAATATATTACATCATTTGTGTTATGATTTACATTCTGTTGTAAGCCTCGATCAGAGTAGAACATACTAGAACTTCTCAGACCTGTCTGGGTCATTCTAGGATCGTCTGATGAGACATATAAGCGGCAGTGAGAGGCCTTGAGTCATCTGAGAACTGCACCTCGGCGAGGCAAGATCTTCTTTGCTCCCGAGGTACTGCGTGAACTTGACAATGCTGACCTGTGATCAGGGGGTGGACAAGGGTCGCCCGCAGAGCGAGTGGTGGCCTTACCGTCACCTTCGCGGAATGGGGACAGGCCCAGCAAATAGCCAACATAACAGAAATCAAAGGGATCCAGTTACTAGTGCAAGCTCGCCCAGAGGACAACTTGGTGTTGGGAGTCATCTCCCACACCAAGATAGAACACCTTGAAAAAGAAGAACTGGCCGAGCTGATTGGAGACCAGCAATAGTACGGAAGCTGACCAGTGGAGTATCACTGGTTAGCTACCCCACGAAGACACCAAGCACCGTTTTGCGGGGATGGGAGAACATCTCAGTAAGACCGTATGAAAGAAGACCAACAAGATGTTACAAATGCCAGAGGTACGGCCATCTGGCTGGGAAGTGTCGTGCTTGGGAGGTCTGTTGCTGGTGCGGAACACCCGGGCACCATGACAAAAGAGACCATTAATTGGAGTGGGTTGCCAAACATATTTTGAACAACTGTGTTCATCATGCAGCAGAAAAAAAGGATGTTGATATTGAGAACATTAACTTTAAAATTTCTCAGTATTTTTATATACAGTATACACTGTCCAAACTGAGCAGTTGGTAGGAGTACTGTGAGTGTTGAATTTGGATACAGAAAGCTGCTTTCTCATAGCAAGACTCACTGGCTGTCACTATTTCCAGGCATCACAAGGGTGATACAGATGTTTCTGGCTTTGAAGTCCTTTCTGTCACTGGACAAACCATCCGCAGTGATTAAGAAATTTTTTGAGCATGAATTGAACGAGATTTACCTCTGGCACATGCATTCATTAATTAGCGGATTCCAAACACACATCCAAGAAATTGAAATGGAAGTAATTGATGAAGAGTGTAATAAGTTCTTTCCTGAAGTAGGTAATATATACAACAAATGCCTAGAGTTTTTGGAGAAATGGATAAAACCCATGGAAGACTTTTCTTATTTCAAGTGGATAACCTTGAACGAGACACCAAATTGGACTAATAAGGCCTTGTGTCAAATACCTGATTGATAGGGGTGCCAATTGATGATGTGAAGTGTTTTGATCAGGTTAGTAACCTGATGAAATCTTAGGAGTATTGCACATGATGAAAAATTTAGTAATTTGCTACTACAGTAGACCCTTGCCATTCGCAAGGGATAGGTTCCAAGAAATGGCGTGAATTGGCAAAAACGCGAATGGCAACTTATACTACCTTAGTGCACTACTGTATACCTATACCAAACAACTTTCTTTGTCAGGGTCATCATTGACTTATGCCTTTTACATTTCACTCCAATAGCATCCCTAGAACTGGCACTAGGCTGTCTTTTAGGGGCTGTTTCACACAGAAACACTTAAGTTTTGAGAGTACAACACGAGATGCTGCGTGGGGTGACTCCTTGTGCTGCGGGAAAAGACTTGCAAGCCAACCACCATAGCCACCATCTGCTTATCGCGAATCGTCAAAATCGCGAATTGCAAACTCGCAAATAGCAAGGGTCTACTTTGTACCAAAAGTGCACCAAATATTTTGAGGAATCCAAGAATATTGAGTGTCACTCGGAACTATTAAGAATTGCACAGTTCTTCTTTGCTATTCCTCTTCACAAAGGAAAGGAATAGTCTGACTGTCGCGTTGCTGAAAAGAATTGCGATTGTGCAGTTCAGTGCAGCTTATGAGAAACTTCTTGTACTGATTTTTATACCTCCTTAAAGAGTAATCAACCACTAATGAGAAAGATGCGATCTACAGAGAAATACCAGGTATGCATGGGCACATCAAGTCACACTGGGTAAATACTAATAGACTGCTAAGGGAGTGAACTCCAATGAGTACTTTTTTTTTTACATCATCATATATAGCACATTACTACAATGCAAGACAGTATATATTGGCATTAATGGTATATAAATAATGTACCATAAAGCATTGCCCACCCCCCCAAAAAAAAGGCTGCTTTTGGACAGCATATTACCCAGGGGGGGGAATGTCATGTGTATGTGTGTGCGTACAGATATTTTCTGTCTGTTGAAGCGTCCTCTTTTTTTTTTTCAATGTTCAGATATGTTTACCTTATAAATCAAAGTTTCAAAACAGTGAATGCTCGAACTCCAAGTTTATGTCTCCTACATCATTTGCTACTATATTTGCCAATTCATGTTTTACAACTGTTAATTCAGATTCAAATCTGCCATTTATTGTCCTTCGTACATTACAACCAACTGAAAAACCGTCCATTTGGGCCAAAAAATTATGTAATCCAACCCCATTTAACTATTTTTATATGCTTGATTTGCATAGGAGGAAATAACTTTCCATTACAGGTTGAACCTCCCTAATCCGGTACTCTATTGTTCGGCAAAATTTTAGTTTCCCGGACGGCCGCTAGTACCCACCAGTGCTAGTATCCACGGTTCCACATACCCTTTGTTTACATCTGGTCCTCGTGAAGTTAGGTGCGTTGTTAGGCATTTCAAGTGTTTCTGAAATATTTCACCTGTTAATTATCCTTAATATGCCTCCTAAGCTTATTTACAGCTGCTCCCCGACTTAGACGGGGTTAGGGACCTAAATCCAGGTCGTAAGTCGAAAATGCTCAAATAATGCATGGAAAATCTAAAATGGGTGTACCTTTTTCTTCTCAACACCACAAAACTCTCACTATTAAGCTGGCCAGCCATTTTAAAGTGAATTACAAACGAAAATTTTGTCAGTACACAATCAGACATTGGGACTTGAAAATACGTAATTTGACAAAATTTTGGTACGACCAAGGCAGTCGTATGTCCGGGTGGTCGTAAGTCAGGGAGTAGCTGTATTTTATTATTTCATTTACTGTACAGTACAGATATTTTTTTCTTCTTTACAGGTGAACATCACCAATTTATGTACAGGTTGAGGTACCATAACTATTTTGCCATTTTAAGTGCAGAATGAGAATTATTGTTTAACCATTTTCGTTTATTATAATTACACTGTACAGTAGAACGTGGATATAACACGAGATATGTTCCTGAACCGAATTCACACTAAATCGAAGTGTTGTTTCAATGGAATAATTTAGTTTGGAACTTGAGACACACAAAATACTAAAAAGACTTGAGTCTACCCAGATGCACCTCAGCCCATATCCTAGAATAAACAAAACATTGTTTTATTTAGTATTATGTTAAAAGATACACAGCTAAACTTAAGGGATGGAAATGGTCTGTTTACTGGCTGGTTAGATGGGGTCGAGTTTTTCTCTTATAAAATGTCACTGAACTGACATGGGAGAATATAATTAACATTACTAGAATTCTTATAAGATAGTGATTAATTTGAATATAATCATGCTATAGCTTGCATTAGACAAAAATTTTAGTTCTAATTTAAGAATTTTATTACATAGCAAAATTTTTTATCTCGTGCAAAATATATGACGTTTATATTCATATTATTCGCGATCTTGCAAGGATTCTAGCAATGCAAATTATATTCTCCTAACTTTAGACTGTGATATTATTTAACATAAAAGCTGTAAGCTTAAAACACCAAACACTGGCTGGGAAGATGGGAGGGAAGAGACATGTTTGACAGTTGGCACAAAGGTCTAGTGAAGTATTTATTTGTTTATTTATGTCCTTTAGCTTGAGTTTATGTTTTTTGCTTATAAAAGGTCACAGAAGTGACCAGGGAGAATATAATTTACATTGCTGGAATTCTTATATGATAGTGATTAATTTTAATATAATCATGCTATAGTTTGCATTAGACATACAAATTTTAGTTCTAATTAGGAATGGCAAAATTTCTTTCTCTTGTGCAAAATATATGACATTCGTATTCAAATTATTCGCTGTCTTGCAAGGATTCCAGCAATGTAAATTATATTCTGTGATATTATATAAAATAAAAACTGTAAGCCTATAACCACCAAACCCTGGCTGGGAGGGGGAGGGAGGGAGGGATGAAGGGGAAGTGACATGTTTGACAGTTGTGCTAAGGTCTAGTGAAGTATTTATTTGTCCTTTAGATTGAGTTTTTGTTTTTTGTTTATAAAATGTCACAAAAGTGACTAGGGATAATATAATTTGCATTGCTGGAATTCTTATAAGATAAGTGATTAATTTTAATATAATCATGCTATAGTTTGCACTAGACAAAAATTTTAGTACAATCATTTAGTACATTATTTTGAGTACAGGTACAGTACAGCTTTGCCCTTAGGACAGTGTAGCATGCCCAGAGAAACATTAGGTGCATTAGGCACATTAAAACTGTGTGACAATAATAATACAATGTATTTTACAAAGACCACCTATGGTTCGGAAAATTCTATAGTCCGGCACCGGTCAGGTCCAAAGGGTGCCGGATTAGGGAGGTTCAACCTGTACTTCCTTTTACTCTTTATAATGCTACTTTAGCTACCCCTGATGACCTTTAGCCTTTAAATCAAAAGAAAAAGGTTGCAAATAAAAGGCTGCTATTTTCACCCATAATAATATTGCCATATTTCTAAAAATGTCTATTTTACAAAAGCTAGTATACACAGGGCCGTTGTAACATGGCCATTCAAATCATAAATTACAGACTACAATACACGAGCGGAAATATGAATTTACAATGTCAGTATTCATAAATTTTCTTGGAACAGAATCACTAGGGTAACATATTTACATATTGTACTTACATAAAAGACTCGACAGCATAGAATCCTTAAGCTTTCATGAAAAAGTATGAAGTATAGTTCAATGCCTAATAAATTAATGGACATTAATTTAAATACCCTTGACAAGATTTACAAGTCAGTGACAACATTTGCACGACTTATGTTGATTGGCAAGAACACTAAAAAATTATTTGCTTTATACATAAGCAACTAATCATAATACTTTACATACAGCTACTAAATTCCTGAACAATCAATCAATTTCTATTGATATCTATACTCTCTGTTGTCAACAGGAGTTGAGAAACATTAAACTTGTTAACCATCAGAATCAGGGTGGGTAGGGGAAAAGGGAGGGGGAGGAAGAATATCAACAAATCATTATCATAGCTTAAGAATCATGATGCCCAAAGCCTTATAACAATATCAAGGCAATTCAAAGCTAGTAGCAAAACCTGGAGTATTGACCAAATGACCTCAAAAACCTAAAATCACTAAGCACATAATGATCCTTAAGCAATGACACCTAAAATGGAATCTTCACCAGAACCACACCAAACACTCAGTCAGGAGGTTAAGTCACAACTTTTTCACCAACACACTAGGGACCACTAGTTAAAGCTCCCCTAACACAAAACTATTATCAAGAATAATTTGACACATTCAGTGGATCTGTGCCATAGGTACTCTCATCAATAAGGCTCAGCTTCACTATTGTAAACATGAAAATTTGTCTCTGATAAGAACCTTAGGCTCAGCTACTAAGTGTCACATTTACAACCTTGAAGTCAGATCTACGTACAGATCACACTGACAAGGAATGATTCTCAAACTATAAATTACTGTATGTCCCTCCTGGAGCAGTTTCCATCTTAAATTTCTGTAAAAATTTGGTTCTGGCTGACAGAATCACCACAATATTTTTCTTCTGTATTTCTCGATATGAAGAACCTGGTTTAACACGCACTTGATTCCTAACATTTCCTCAATATTGCTTTAATCTGTAGTTAACAAGAGATTTTCCAAATACAATGTCATTATCACATGTCCACATTCACCGTTACCACTTTTGTTATAAATAAATTAATATTCACCGAGCGAATGTAGGTTAATGCCAACCCAACTTTTTATGTCTGAATTTTTATTAGTCTTTCTTGCATGATTTCAAAACCTAGACATCAAACGAGTTGATGTTTTCTTCAGAGATCACCAATGTTTATATCAGTTTCACCGTTTAAAATGCCAATCAGCAAGAATAATTCTTGACCTCCTCCTTGGCCCATTACTCAGGGCCTGGATCTATGAAAATATTAATTCGGTTCACAAGTAAATATGAGATTGACAAAAGAAGTAATGACATGCATGGCAAGGCATCATTCACTGACAGTCCACATGGGAAGTTCTCCAAGGACCATGAGCAGTTCAAGCCAACCTACACGAAAAATAACCTCAAAGTCCACATACTGTCACAATCTTTTTCTTTTAATTACACTTCACTCATAAATATTCCTGTTAACAACATTCTGGTTCTTCATAGCTAAAAGGTTGAGACAATATGCAATTTTCATATAACATCCAGCCCCAGAAGTTAGCCATCACCCTAAACACACCGTATGTGTGACACCCTGGCAACCATGGCTACAATAGTTCAGTATTGCTACAATACTTACCTTCACAGCACCCACACTTTATATATTGTGCCCTTATAACAATTTGATACATACTCACCAAGTGTTTATTTCAGTTTATTCAGTTTCTTTGGGCTTGAGTTTACACTTAAGAGTAAAAGAATGACTAGCAGAAGCTTTTGAAAAACAACCAGTTATATTAGAGTACAGTATATGAAACAATAGATACGACCCAATTTCTATAAATTGTCAACAAAGATCTTATATAAATAATATATAAGATACAATATTAATAAATGTAATTTTATAATTCCTAAATCCAATATATGTTGCATGACAAAGCACCAACAGGTAGCATGAATCTCTTCATAGCTGCCCATTTTTCTTTACACTGGATCTTCCAGAATAACCCTTCATTCTTAAGCAGTACTTGTATGATAGTAACAACCAGATATTTGTACACTTGAAATGTTTTTTTACCATTTTCCATTAAGTTATAAATGTTTTTGTAAGTACTCAGGCATCTCTCAGTAGATACAGTACCTGGTGGACTATGATACAAGCAGTGATTAAAATACACTTCATGAAAAGATAGTCAATACCTGCATACCATGTATGTATTTGATTAAGTATCTCCACTGTCACAAAGTGGACTGGTGCGGCAACAGCCGACTTGGGCCAGGGATAGCTTCAGAACACAAGTCCTGCTGCTTTTTGATTTGTGACCATACTGTCATTGGCAATATTAGGTTTAAAATTGTGACATGATGTAGAAGTACTACTAATTTAAATATTCCCATATTTAACTTTATCAATAAAACCTAAAATATATATTGTCGTGGAAATAACAGTTTTAAATATAATTTGAGCAGATACCTCCACTAAGTTTTTGTAAACAATTCTACTAAACATAAAATTGGCAGCCCATGTCTGCCAGCCTGTGAGGGACCTGCTCATAGTCTCTCACCAGGCCAGACGTATCCCTATGAGTCATAGGACGATGAGTGGTGGTCGGGGGGTCGACCAGGTGAAGGTGGAGAGGAGAGATTACTACTGGTGTTGGAGGCAATGGAGTGACGTGGTGAGGTATCTCCACACTCTTGCTGTAATGAAAAAAATTTAGAATCTTCAGTATTAGTTTTTGTATTTGCTCTACACCCACCTTGCTGCAATAGGAATTCATGAGCTGCTCTAGCTCTTTGAAAGGCTGCTTAGCAATAAGTATCAATTTTAAAATATTCTAATGTACAGCATGCCCTTAATATTTGAGGGGGTTAGGTTCTCAAAATGGCCGCAAATAGCCAAATCCGTGAATAACATTTGCTGACTGGGGAGGGGGGGACATTTTTACTCGTGTGCAAGGAAATGTATATTCCCTTCATGTGTTTGCCCTAAGGACAATTATTTCTTTTACCTGTATTGTATATTGTATATACAGTGATATCCCCGTTAGCCGGAACAATTGGTGCAGAGCACTTCCGGGAATGAGAGATTTCCGGATAACGAGACGACTCTCAAAGTCGGAAAAAATCCCTCATCCCCGGAATTTTTTGGGTAACGGAAAAATTTTCTCTGAATTTCCAGAAAATGTACTCCCCCATTCCCGGAAATCTTCCAGGTATTGGGAAAATTTCTCAGAATTTTCTGGAAAACGTGCCCCTCAGAAAATCGTTCCCATAGCCGGAAAATTAAGGCATTGGGAAATATTTTCCGAAAAAAAAAAAAATAAATAAATAAATAAATTCCGGCTATCAGAGAGTGCCGAGTTTGAGGGATTCCGGCTAATGGAGATATTACTGTATGTGTGTGTGTGTGGACACACACATACAAATATATAATAATGGGAAAATCCTCTCACAAAGGATCAGGAACAAGACAACAAAAATGTATTAAAAATGTAAGTCTACCCTCAAGTCAACTGCGTGCTTTGTTATTAAAGTTATAACAAAGCACGGAGTTGACTTGAGGGTAGACCCCAACATTTTTAATAAATTTTTGTTGTGTTGTTTCTGATTATTTGTGAGAGGATTTTCCCATTATTCTTTACCGTATTTGCCGGCATATATGATGATGATGATGAAGTAAAGTGGCAAATGACTTTGCCCAGGGGGAGGAGAGGAGAGAGAGAAGGAAAGCATAGAAACGGGAAGTAAAGTAGTAGGGGATGATAGCAGGTGGGCTGTCCGACGCACCCCTATTTTACAAGGATATTTTGTGGGAATATTTGTTTTAGTAAGTTTCGTCATACAATTATTGAAAGTGATTTAAAGTGGTTTTGTAGGGGGAAAACATGATTTTGTGCATGTAAATACAATATATACTGGAATCATTTAGGAAATCATATATAGTAAAATTTTACTAACCCAACTCTACCTTTGATCAGAGCAGCTGTGTGGCTTGTTTATATTTTGGTCAAGAGAATTACCGACAGGATGTGAAACTCATAATTTTGGCGGTGATGTTTTGTGTTGCTGCGATCTGCCACCAGGGTGTAGCACCATCGCTAATGTTTGGGTGTCATCGACTCATTGCAAATGGCTGACTGGCGGCAGACCTTTCTGTTAACATTTCTTTAATCTTTCTAAGGGCATTTCTCATTTAGATAATAAACAAATGTTTCTTAAAAGGTAATACAATCGCTAAATAATGTAAGACATGTATCTGGTGTGGGTTAAGTATGCTGGGGAAGGAGGTACAGTGAGATGTTGTGAGCTTCCCTCTGCCATTAAGCCAATATTTACATATTCGTCAAATTTGCCGTAAGTTTGTGATAATAGATTGTGATAATTTGGCTTGTTTTTTTGTATTTTATTATTCGTAATATTATTAGTAACACAATTTTTGTACTTAGTGGACTACTGCTCGTCTCAGACTCCCTAGCAAGGAACCTCCGCCTATGGCACTCGGCCTCCCATCCGTAATACGGGCGCATTAGACGCAGGGTAATTTGGGATACATTTAAAAAATAAATAAAATGCGTCTTATACGCTGGAAAATACGGTATTTGCATGTGTTTTGTGTGTGTGTGTGTGTGTGTGTGTGTGTGTGTGTACATACACACAAATATACAATACCTGTACAGGTAAAAGAAATTACGGTCTCTAGAAATAATCGCTCCCTGTCCCAACTGCGGAAATGCCAGCAACTTTAAAACTACCCTTAGACATTTTTGGGTGTGTCCACTGTCCAGGGTGTCATCTGTGAATAATCGAGGTCTGCGAATTTTATGGGCATGCTGTATGTAAATAATCACCTTAAAATATAGGATAGCATTATTGTTGTGGATGACTAATGAGTAGCAGATTTAGTATATAAAAAAAATAATATGAAGGCACAAGGCTATACCTCTTGTAATTGATGAATAATCTGATGACGAGGTTCTTCTGGTGAGCGTTGTGGAGGCAGGTGCTGTGGAGCTGAGGTGGGCGGTAAGGGAGGCATTCCTGGCCGACGTATAGAGCCAGGCATTGGTGGAGGTCCACTACCTATAAACAAAAATATTTATTTTACCAGATGCGTAATATACACCTTTTATATACTATAAACTATACCCGGTAATACCTATCAGTACAGAAAGATATACTCTATATTTAAATTCCTTAATACCCTGTTTAAATATATAATTTTCACTTTCAAGCCCACACTTTACATAATTTCTATTCTAAACACACACACACACATACATACATACATACATACATACATACATGTATGCATGCACACACACACATACATGCATGCACACACACACATACATACATACATACATACATACATACATACATGCATGCATACATACATGCATGCATGCATGCACACACACAAACTAGCCTCAGGTTATTTCACAAGATAGGGAATGAGAACGTCCACAAAGTGAATAATCAAAATATAAAAATATAGTACAGTATATAGAATTTAATACCAAATATGGCAGGGGTGTATAACTGGTAGTTCTGGAGCCACATTTGGTTCTTCAAAAGATAGATGTAGCTCCTTCAATCTTTGAACAAACGTAAAGTGACCAAAGATATGTTTAAAAGGCAGAACATTCCCATAAAATAAAAAAACCATAACTGCAGAAAATTATAGTACTGTACAGTAGAACATCGATTTAAAGAGATTCAATTTAAGATTATTGATTTTTAAAGCGACACCCACAATTAAGGACAATGTATTAATTTAAAGCGAATCTTTCCTATTTTGCACGAGTCAATCTGGCTCATCATATTTTAAAATTCGTGCCCAATGTTTCTTTGAGCACGCTACACTGTTCTACGGGCAAAGATGTACAGTGTTCTGCTTGTGTTCTGTAAATATATAGAAATAATAAATAACGGGCTTATGGAAAATGGGTTAGGTGCAGTTTGTGTGTTTTGTTAATAATTTTTTTTTTTTTGTTGTTTCGCTTTGGATTTTTACCATATTGTTAATACCAATTGGAGAAATAGTAAGATTTTTTTTTGTTTTGTGTTGGTTGTCATGTACTGTTTACTCAAAATAATGTATTAAATGATTACTAAAATTTTTGTTTAGTGCAAACTGTAGCATGATTATGTTCTCCCCAGTCACTTCTGTGACATTTTATAAAAAAGAAAAAACTCAATCTAAAGGACATAAATAAACAAATAAATACTTCACTAGACCTTTGGCCCAACTGTCAAACATGTCACTGTCACCTCCCCTTCCCCTCCCCCCTCCCAGTCAGGGTTTGGTGGTTATACAGTAGATTTTAAGTTTTTATTTTATATATTATCACAAACTAATGTTCGGAGAATATAATTTGCATTCCTAGAATCCTTGCAAGACAGTGGATAATTTGAATATAAACGTCATATATTTTGCACAAAAGATAACAATTTTAGCCATTTGTAATTAAATCTAAAATTTGTATGTCTAATATGAACTATAGCATGATTATATTCAAATTAATCACTATCTTATAAGAATTCCAGCTACGTTAATTATATTCTCCAGTTCAGTTTACCCTAGGGAGATTTTATAAGAGAAAACTTAGTCACTCTTAAGGACAGATAATAAATAAGCACTAGACCATGGCATCAACTGTCAAACATATCACCTCATCTCCCCAGCCAGTAAACAGACCATTTCGCATCCCTTAATTTTAGCTGTGTTGATTTAAGAGTGTTTCTTTTAACATAATACTACAAAACACTATGTTTTGTTTATTCTAGGAGGGCTGAGGTGCATCTGGGTAGACTGTCAGTCTTTTTAGTATTTTGTGTTTTTCTCAAGTACCAAACTAAATTATTCCATTGAAACAAAACTTCGATTTAGTGTGAATTCGGTTTAAAGCAACCTCTCTTGGAATGTATCTTGCTATGTACAGTACAGAACACCCTCCCAATACCCACCTAATTCATGCATGCCCTGACCATTATGGGAGGGTTTCCTTTCCCCCCCATTCCCCGCTATCAAAAGACACATCTTTTACCGTAATGTATATTGTACAGTACCAGGCAATCCCCGATTTGTAAGATCCTGTTTGTGAAAGTCCGAAGTTACAAAACTGATCGGTTCAGAGACAAAATAAAAACATACAGTACTAAATACAATATATTTAGTGTTTTAGTTAACAAAGCTCACAGGAGCTATGTGAAGCAGTGGCAAGATGCTGACTCGCGATATTTCCACTATGGGAATGCTGAAGTTAGGTTCCATGGGCCCTGCAAATTGTCAAAATCCGCAAATATTATTAGCAACCACAGTATTATAGGTTTGAGATACTTGGGGAGGAGGAACCCTCAACCCCACCAAATTCTAGTGTATAGAGGTTCTACTGTATAGGAAGATGACAGATTGAAATCAGTTCAGAACATAGCAGACTCTTACTTTCTGGAAATCCCTGTCTTAAGTATTTTTTTTTAGTGTATGTTTTGGGGCAGCAGTACCTTGCATGCTTTCCCTTTCCTTCCAACATGCATCTCTCATCTTTGACATGGTTTTCAATGTTTTTGCATTTTTTTTAGATTGATTTAGCATGAAGCATTTCAGGAACTTATCACTTGTGTTAAGTAGGAACTACCTATAGTGGCAGCCTTAATGCTGGATATCTTGGATATGGATGGCTGTGTATATACTGTATGAATCTTGTCAGCCTTCAGTTTGATGCTATAAATTGTGCTTTCATTTATCCCATTTAAGCTGCTACAATTGATGTACTTACCCCATGGTCAAGTTCATCCACAACTTTAAGTTTTCTTTTTCTCACTTGACTTATGGCTGGTAAGCATTTATACATCTTGATTAACTCTTATGCCCCAGGCAAAGTAAGACCTGTCAAACCCCCTCACCCCCCATGTGGGCATATTTTGGCAAAAAACTTTTTTCTTCTTAAGTCCATGGTTAGAAACTGGTGTTTCAATGATGCAAGACATAAACGTGACGCACTTTCTCACAGATTGTGCTGATTTCTCGTTCATCACAGTGATTTAATTTATTCATAACAGTGTTATGAGTTGTGAGCCATGCCTTGTTGCTGGCGAGGGTGGAGGGTTAAGAAATGTAAAAAGTGCATGGAACTACACCACACGGTGATAGCGTGATGCCTCCTGATGCCTTCTACTCACATTTACGTATAGAAATTATTATTTTATCGTGATTACTAATATATATACCCTAATTGTTTGTAGGTAATTTGTTTACAATGCCAATGCAACAAATCCCACCTTTTACCACAAATAGTAAGCTTGTTATGACTCATTATGTACAATTATCTCTCGTGTGGTGCAGTCTACAGCTGTGAGTAACAGGTCAGAACCCGAGTGTCTCACGGAAGAGTGCCTACCCAAACCCAAGTGTTAATAAATTTCCTCACGTAAATGTTCAGTAATGTACAGTATTTACCAGGTGCATCCAGCCTTAAAATCCTCAGTCATGTCAATATTGTTATTGTTGTTCACCTTGTATCTGTATTAACCTGGCCATATAAACTCTTTCAATTTCAATATGTTTCAAGGACCAGTTTCAGGGTGTACTTACACAAATATGGCCCATAAAACCAATGCAAAAATCCTACATTAGTTATATCTGTAGCTGTATTTTAATTTCTTTCCTGCTTCTCAGAATTTAACTTGTCATCTCTATCAGCCAAAGTTACTGTGCTTCCTATCTTATTTAGTAAACCATCACCTCTAACCATTATTAATTGATTTATATATCTCACTACAGTTGTTGATTTGTCATATTCTCCATATTTCCTAATATTAATCTTGTAAATCAATAAAATTCACCATGTACAAAATGGAGAACAGCAACTCCACCAGGTAATAATAATAATAATAAAATGTCTGAAGAGATACTAACCATTATGAACATTGGAATAATGAGGTTGTGGCAGTGGCTGATGACTGAAGGAGCGGCGAGGAGGCTCAGGTCCCTGGGGTAGTCTTGGTGGGGCTAACTTTCCACTTGTTTGAAGCATACTGCGTACCTGAAAATGGTGAACCAACTATATTTCTGTCTTCATTTGAAAAAAAGATAAACACATTAGAAAAATCAAAAGATCATCAACTCAAGAAATCAGAATTATAAATCAAGCAATATGAGGATTCAAATAGCACACACACATAATGGGAAAATCCTCACACAAATAATCAGAAACAAAGCAAAATTTAGAATAAATGTGTGAGTCTATCCTCAAATCAACTCTGTGCTTTGTTATTCAGTTAACTTTAATAAGAAAGCATGGAGTTGACTTGAGAGTAGACACACATTTTTTTCTAAATTTTGTTGTCTTGTTTCTGATTATTTGCAAGAGGATTTTCCCATTATTATTTATTTGTATGTGTTTAGCGAGCACGCATGCATGCGCACACGCACGCACACACACACACACACACACACACACACACTACAGGTAAAAAAAATTACTGTCTCTAGAACGAATGGCTCCCCGTCCTGGCCGCAAAAATGACAGAAACTTTAACCCCAACGCCCCGGTTGACTTTCCGGAACGTCCATCTAGAGCGCTCCCAGTTGACGTTCTGGAACGAGCGCCTTTTCTCGGCATTGTTTGAATGCCCAGTGTGGGCTATCAGGTTCCAATGTGACTATTTGCTTATCAAGTCACACGCTCAGCCACAGGGAAACTTCCTGAATGTAAGTACCTGTACCTACTTTTGTTTTTTTTATTTTCATTGTTTGCCCATTTTATGATGTTGTATCAAAGTAATATTGCTAAAAGTAGTGTAGTTGTGTTGTAGTGTAGTATTACTGGAAAATAATGCGATGATTATGATATAAATGTACCGTATTTACTTGCTCTACCAAACACAAAGAAAGTCAGACAGCCTGGCGACAGACTGTGTGTGTTGCCGAGCACTTTTATGAAAAATAATGCAAATAAAATATTCTAAATGAATTATCTATAGGAAATAAGTATTATGATCAGTAAATATATGCATTACTGGCCATCCCGGACACAAAGGCAAGCAGAAAATGCATAGTGACGAGTGCTAGCCGTCAAAACAACACTGTCCCCTTACCTCCCTCACCACTGCGGCCCTAGGGAAGTTTCTAGAGGGTCTATATATAGTTTTTCTTGCTTCTTTTTTATTGTTTTATCATTTAAAAAGGTTACAAATAATTTTTGGAAAAATTTATTTTTCTTGATTTACCCTGTGTGGGGGATACGGCCAGCGGCACCCTAGCCCGCGGTGTAGGGTTTAAAACTACCCTTAGACATTCTTGGGTACATCCACAAATAATCAAGGTCCGCGAATTAAAAATCCAGGAATTGTCAGTTCGTAAGTCAGGAACCCCCTGTATTCAAAAATCTCTCATAAGTGGAAATTTTACCAAATAAAGTACAGTCAGATTTGCAAATACCTGTACACGGATTGCCGCCGGAAGAATATTTATTCAAATCACGCGTGACACCACACACTGCCCGCCACACCACACACACACACACATCGCCCGCCACGCCACCCTGCGTTCCCTGAGTCAGTCAGTCTCGCTGTAACCACGCTTGTGTTAACATCAGCATTGTAGTTGCTACCCACATTTACCATGGTCCCCAAGAGAGCATCAAAGAAATAACGCTGGAGAAATTGGGGGAGATAACCAGGTATATTGAGGCACTGAAAAACCTGGCCTCCATGGTGCGTGCCTTGAAATTCATGTGAGGGATGGATGATGTTTTTGCTTCATACAAAAACATCATGGAAGAGATGAAAAGAAAGAGACGACAACTCCCCATCACCATGTTCTTTGATCGCTGAAGGAGAGATACAACACCATCCCTCACTGGCGGCAGTGAGGAAGCAGCTGAACCCACCGTCGTCCCCACTTCACCACCCGTTATGGAATGACCCCCCTCCTGTCGCTGAGGATAGGTACGGTACAGTAAAGTGAAATTTTTATATCTTTTTCTATAACTTTTCTTGCCATGTTTATTGTTTGTAAAAATGCACAGCACAGTACAGTTCAGTACTGTACATAGGAAGTGGAGGTACAGTTATTCACAAAACATTTGTGTTTGTTGTCAGCAGAAGTGACGATGTGGAGGCGGAAGGATAGAGCGGGGACGAGTGGTGATGCTCTGGAGGCGGAAGCAGGGACGAATGGAGATGCCAGCCAGTACATTATTAATTGTTTTTATAGCTCTTTTTGCATTTTAATATTAAATAAAGTGTTTGTAAACATGTACATAGTGTTTATCTTTACTTGAATAAGGACATGGGGGGGCCAGGGGTGTTTTTTTTTGGGGGGGGCAGCAAAAATATGCGGATTCCTAACATTCGAGGGTATCTCTATTACCTAACCCCCGCGTATGTTAAGGGCCGACTGTATTACGAAAATTGCAACAGTTTACTGTAAATATCACAATACAATATTTTGAAATATTTCATATTTTGAAATGTTAAAAAATATTACAAAATTTCTAATACTGTATATAATTCATAACAGCAAAACATTATGAATTATGAGTAATTTCGAATTTGGGGGGTTATGAATTATGGTTTTTTGACTGTATTAATATACAGTATCTATACAAACATTATTTTGTGTGTGTGTGTGTGTGTGTGTGTGTGTGTGTGTGTGTTACAAGAAATCTGTGTACAGAGTACAGGAACTAGGGATTTCATGTAATCCTCAAAATGTTCTGGAATTTCTTGTAATTGCTGGGACTGCTAGCTAACCTAACGTGGTTAATGCTTAGATTAGTTTTTCAAAGTATAATATAAACAAATTATGTATTTACCCTATGGATGGACTGTGTGTGTTGTGTGCGTTGATCAGCAGCAGTACTGATTCGGGAGGGCAGGTCAACTAGGCGTTGGATCTCTATGCTGTCTCCTGGGCCCATGTGACTGATGTGATTGAAATTAGTGGGTCCTGATATCAGTTTGCTGCGTCTATCGGTTCTGAAAAATGGAAAAACAGATGTAGTCTCAAATAAATATTCTTACATTGTACAATCAACAGTTACTGAATAAAGCACCCAGCTGTATAAACCTGGCGTGACAAGCACCAGGACACTAACACTATTAGTTATAAATAGAAAATGACTGTTGTGTATTCAAATAATTTTGAGTCAATGTATACTGTTGGTATAACCTATTATGACATATCACAAAGTGCAATCTTTTCCAACAAACGAGATTTCATAAGTTCATAAAATGCAACTTGTCAAGTCATATCGTTCTTAAAAGTTTGATGAATAAACATTAAAAGCCATAAGTTTATTAAAAAAAAAGACAAAGCTAATTTATTTAGTCATGCTATACTAGTTACCACAACATGTGAAACAACACTGCCAAAAAATACAAGTATGTACAGTAAACCTATACATAACACACAACACCACAAATACTAAAACAATCACAAGGATCTCCAGTAGCTGACTGACACTAAACACATAAATATTAACTAAGACATTCAAATATTAGTAAATGCAAATACACAGTAATATATACAAAAATAAAAGTAGAATCTACATTTAAGTCAAAAGTTTAATATTTGCATATCTTATAGGATATTAAAACTTAATAAGTACTGCCGCAGGGTATGATAAAGATGTCACTACTGCAGTCAGGTCTTTGAGAACTCTCACTGCCCAATTATGACACACCAAACCACGTGGCGAAAAATGCCATTATTGCCGCCATAAGCTATAGTAAACTACTGATAGGTAAGAACTATACAATGGTCTGCTGACACACCAGCTGCTGGCCAAACACCAAGAGGGATTAGTGTGGCTGATGGACATGGCACACAAGTAGGTTACCATGGGTTGCTGGTGGTGCTCAACTGGCGGGTGAGAGAGGCAGGCAACGGCTGCACCAGCTGTAACATGCGGCTCTCCAGCTGCCTCAACCGCCTGGCCGACCACATGCCACAACCAGTCATTACATAACAGTTATTATGAAGCTAACACAAGCTACCTATAATGTGCCATTTATTGCACATAGCTAAAACTATTGTAGTGTATATATGAAGGTTCAAACAAATAAAATTTGATTTATTTCTTTGCAAAATTTTACCTTCAGCCACTGAATACAAATAGAAGTACTGTAAACTCTAATGGCTATTGAACAGAAAACTATCTAAACAAAAAACTTTTACATTTAGTATTAAAACTGAACCAATGCTGGTCAAAAATATTTGTTACTTACTGAGCTGATGAGATTAGTAACACAATTGGGGGACTAATTCATGAATAGCATTTTAGCTCGTTTCATCGTATGCTCACTTATGTACTAAGAATAAAATTAAGGGACTAATCCTGAAATCCCATTTTATAATGAGCAAGGATCAGGGCATCATATATTTGCATTGGAAAATTTTTGGGTTTAATCCCCAGGGTTCCCAGGAGTCCTCCACTTGTGTGACTGAGCTATACTCCACAAACCCAGCAACAAACTAGATAATGTGTCTTCCAGTTCAACCACAGCCCCCATAAATAGAAAACAGCTCTGAAGAACCTGCTGTCTGAAGACCTGTGTGTTCATTTGCTGTGCCATGCAAATGCATCCCATGACCCAAACAGGTTACTAACTCTTATACTGCAACATGCCTCATACAAGAATTTTTTTTGAATCTGCAGGCAAATTTTAGCATTTATACACATATCACATGTCCCAGTAGACCTCCTCACTCTACCCACACCTCAACAGGGTATTCAATTGCCTTTGTCATCACAAAAGATGCTCATTCATTGACATTTGTGCAGTCTGCCCTTGCTACCCCTTAGCTTCCTACTCTCCCCTAGTCAATCAGCCCCCACACACCACCAGGGTTGAGCAATTTAATCCAAGTTCCTTCAGCTTTTCTTAATATGACAGATTCCTTAACATTGGGAGTTATTTTGTTGCTCTTCTCTGTATTTTCTCAATTTTATCAATGCCTTTCCTTAGGTATGGACACCCAATTCTCCAATGCTTCTAACAGGTTAGTTAGACATGATCTTCCATTGTCGACATTGTTATTACAGTGACCCCTCGTTTAACGAACACCTCGGTTAACGTAATTTCGATTAACGAACTGCCTTCCATAAGGATCTTCAATTCGGTTAACGAAAAAAAATTCGGTTAACGAAGTTCTTACGAACCGACCTCAACATGTTTTTGCTTGCACTGACCAGGCAACCAGCTTTAGTATCAGTCCGCCAATACATTAATCGGTTCTAGGGCTTAAATTCCTTACTATTTTAGTAAATATCAAGAAGTTTATACTATTCAATAATTTTAAAAGTTTAATATTCAATTTTTTAGTCATTTTAACAATTATTGAACATAACTGAAGGTAAAGTGACTAGTTTAATGCGCGGCATCCAGCCTCTTAACACAGCAAACAGGAGTTAGTCTCTCTCTGTTTTCACTGGATGTAACATCTTGCTTGAGACTCTCTTCAACTAAACGCTTTTTTTCTGTGTTTCCAAGCAAATTATTGGTCATTTTGAAATATATTTTACATATTGACAATATATAATGCAGTGCAGTGTTGATTTAAAGAAAATAATCTTGAATTACACCAAGAGATCTAAAATTTTATGGGTGAAATGGCACCATGGGGTGACTTCTCTTCCACCCCAATGCCTTCTCTTTTTCCTTCTCCTCCACCCCCATTCTAAATCCCATCATCATCATCATCCAGGAGCCTTCTACATACACACCTCAAAGTAAGTGAACTTTTCTACCATTTTTGTTGAATTTAGGAAATTTTCGGTGAGCTGGAACCAATTACCCAAAAACCCATTGAAACAATGGTTTCGGTTAACGAACGACCTTCTGGAACGGATTGAGTTCGTTAACGGAGGGGTCACTGTATTCCACTCTTGGTTAAGTGTTCCAATATTAATTCTCTTGATTTTTTCCATTACCTTTACCACCTGCAAAGTTAACGATATATGTGTATAATTTTCTGGTAACTCTTCATTCCCTGCTGTTACAACTGCAATTTTTCAGTTTACAGGTAATTTACCTTCTTTAAGAGACCTATTGAAAAGTATTGTCAGTGATCTTATTAATTCTGTTCCAGCCTCTTGCAATATTCTAGGATGTATGTTGTCTGGTCATATATATATATATATATATATATATATATATATATATATATATATATATATATATATATATATATATATATATATATATATATATATATATATATATATATATATATATATATATATATATATATATATATATATATATATATATATATATATATATGCTACAGTGACCCTCGGTTAACGTAACTCAATTCAGTTCAGCAAGAAGGTCGTTAACTGAGAAACCATTGTTTCAATGGGTTTTTGGGTAATTGGTTCCAGCTCACCGAAAATTTCCTAAATTCAACAAAAATGGTAGAAAAGTTCACTTACTTTGAGGTGTGTATGTAGAAGGCTCCTGGATGATGATGATGATGATGATGGGAATTACAATGGGGGGTGGAGGAGAAGGAAGAAGAGAAGGCATTGGGGTGGAAGAGAAGTCACCCCATGGCACCATTGCACCCATAAAATTTTAGTTCTCTTGGTGTATTTCAAGATTATTTTCTTTAAATCAACACTGCACTGCATTATATATTGTCAATATGTAAAATATATTTCAAAATGACCAATAATTTGCTTGGAAACACAGAAAAAAAGCGTTTAGTTGAAGAGAGTCTCAAGCAAGATGTTACCTCCAGTGAAAACAGAGAGAGACTAACGCCTGTTTGCTGTGTTAAGAGGCTGGATGCTGCGCTTTAAACTAGTCACTTTACCTTCAATTATATTCAATAATTGTTAAAATGACTAAAAAATTGAATATTAAACTTTTAAAATTATTGAATAGTATAAACTTCTTGATATTTACTAAAATAGTTAGGAATTTAAGCCCTAGAACCGATTAATGTATTGGCGGACTGATACTAAAGCTGGTTGCCCGGCCAGTGCAAGCGAAAACATGTTGAGGTCGGTTCGTAAGAAATTCGTTAACCGAATTTTGTTCGTTAACCGAATTGAAGATCCTTATGGAAGGCAGTTCGTTAACCGAAATTTCGTTAACCGAGGCGTTCGTTAAACGAGGGGTCACTGTATATATATATAGTCTTAAATTTTGTAAAAAAAAATTGCAAATTTAGACTATATACAGTAACTGTATGTACAGAGTCCACCCCTTCCCATATAACCCTAAAGATAGGTCCAGCATGTATTCAAGAAAGAAACATGCAGCAAGCATGAGTGGGACAGGTGGGAGGCTCTCTCCTCATGGAAGTCTCTGTACAAGAGAAGAGGAGTCAAATAAACACCTAGTATTTTAGAGAGAGCTCATCTAAGTACAAATCCTCATCGTGACACAATTTAGACAGCAATGTGCATAATTGACTTGTGGCTTGAACTATTTGACCTCTGACCTATTTTTACACAATTTAAATTGCACGGCACCACCTATGCCACTGGAATTGCAATGGGCAGAACCTTCACTTAACCCTTAAGCCCCGGTTAGGGTGCTGCTGGCAACCCCCCCGCCCCCCCATGGGAATAAATCGAGAAAAAATCTTTTTTCCAAAACTAGTAATAATAATAAAAAAATAGTGGCGAGAATAGGCGGATGTTCTGGGACGTCACCCAGGGAGTGCTGATCGGACATTCAGGAATGTCACCCGGGGCCTAAGGGTTAAAACACACTGCTAAGAGCTTTGAATAATTTTCTTCTAATTTGTCAGGTCATCCTAAGCCAACAATCAACTCACTTTTCAAGTTTTATGTAAATCAATAAAATTGCCTTTAAAATTTTTACAAATTTACCAATATACACTCATGTGCAAACACACACACACACACAAGAGTGACACACTAACAAATGCAAAAAAATGTGGCAAGTACAAAGACATACAAAAGAGAGACACGCACACACACAGTATAGTATACAGACAC